CATCATCGGTACCACTGGCCGCAGTGATCGATGAAACTCCGGCACGTCCAGCACCAAAACCAGCAGCACCAAGTGCTCCACGTGGTGGTGGCAAAGCACTGAAGCTTGGCTCGAAAGCAACAGATGATGACCAATTTTTGAAACAACTCAAAAGTGAAGGTATGTTGCACCGATTTCACCACTCAGGTAAAGATTATTCATTTTGCGCCGTTAGATACGGTGAAATTTGTTGTGCTGTGTGTATTTTTCAACATGCGTGGGAGCATTTTGCAGTTTTTATATTTATTGCCAACATCATTTGAGTTTGGACAGTCATCGTGAGGATTCCATGTTACTGGGATGCACCAGCACACCGGAGCTTGTCTGTGCTGCCTAAAAAAACTTGTCTGGGATTACTATATAGTATAACGTGAAATTAATGAAAATTATTAATATGAATGCTTACTGGTTAGATGTGGATATCAAGTTATCCTCCGCTTTATCCATCATGTCATTTCTTCTTATTTCTTGTGCCAGTCTCAACATAACTCTTTCGTCACATTGCCTTGATAACATTGCTCATGCGGTATTCGAACGGCGATACTCTGTAGGGATGTACTGCAAGAACACTTGTTATAAAAAGTCCTGTAGTTCCTTAACATCTTTACTAAAGGTTTCTCCTCAGCAGGCATTTTATCCCATTTTTCATCCTGCGTGATATTGTAACAGCAGTTTTTTCATAGCAATTGAAGTCATTATTAAAAGTGTCACTTTATAATAACTAATTATATAACAGTGATAAAAAAGTAGCTTACAATCATGCCAAATATGTATCTTTATTTGGATAATAATAATAGTAATAATAATAACGATAATAGTTGTGATGATAGTGAAAATGGTAAATGACATAGATATGACAGTAGTTATTTAAAAAATTGTATGTTATAGCAAATAAATTTGTATAAAATAACAAAAAAATAGTAGTGGTAAAATAATGATAAATCATTGTAATGCGCAATTTGAAAATGCAATTTCTTTATTTTTTGAATGATTTTTTCAATTAAAAAAAAATAAATTTCCCATCAAACGAATTGAAATCGAAAAGTGTAATTTTTAAGGGCAAGTGGTTGATGCACCAGCACGCGCCACAGGAACATCGGGTGTTAGCGGCCCAAGCTCCGTTCAGCTGGATGCATCGGCTGTATCACGTCTGCCTGTTCATATCAAAATTGAGGAAAAACTCTCAGCAGTGGTTTCGCGTGATGGCGGACTTGAGAATGGAGAGGTCTGGTTTTTCTCTTAGCTGCTAGGTGTGATTTTTTCGCAGTGTTTGTTTTTCAATGGGGGATTTCCTGTCAAAAAACTTGAAGGTAATAAAGGAAGGGGAAGATTCTTTCTTTTTCAGAAAAATTTTTTAAAAAGTTCCTTTTTTCGAGGATTTTGAGGAATTTTTTTTTCAATTTCATTTACATTTTGCGCATGTTATTTTTACTCCTTCCACTGCCAAATTTCCATTTGCGTCTCACCAGAAAGCCAGAGTTCTCTAGTCGAAGTAGTCGTGTCTCCTGTGGCTTGCAAATATATGTGCTGCAGCATTTCTCTTCATCAGTCAGAAATCTTCGAGTTTGAGTAGATGATATTTATAGTTATACCGAACTGTGCATTTTTATGTGCGAGTCTGGGAATCATTCTGAAAATGCTGCACCCTAGTTATAAAAATCCTCGCTTTTGCATAAAAATATTCTCCTATTAGCTTCAGTATTTTCAGTGCCCTTTGCTGGCATCTGGCCAATTTCAGGTCCAGGGCAGTGTTGCACTATCACTTAGTGATCCACAGTTTGCCACAATTTCTGTTCGAATCGCCAATAATGACAAGCGTGGAGCACAGTTGCAGGTAAACCCGTACTTCTGATTCGAGTAACAGTCAGCGAGTTCAGAGGTTATTGAGAAAGGAGGTTATTGATGGGTAATATGGTGGATGCTTTGGTTTTTTTTTGGCGAAATGAAGAGTTAGAACACTGCAAAAATTAGAACTTCTGCTTCGCTGAAATTTCAGCTAAGCTGATTATCGCATGATTGTAGCATGAAAGTAA